TTGATTCCACCAAAGGCAAAGGCAAAAAAAAGTTCATAGTAAGAAAACAAATGAAATAATCGAAATTATTGAACAACCGTTTTTGTCGGTTCAAATCTTATCGACTTCCAGTTTGCTACTTCGTGTTTTTGAAGGATAATGAATCTTTGTCCTCTTTTTTTTCTTTGTGTCCTCAATTTTTGATTTGATAATTTCATTAGTTTCTTGTACCTGAGATCTTGGAGGCTGCAAAATGGATTCTCCTGAGTCACTACTATTCTGAACTTTTTATGTGTCAGTAGATTATCTACAGTGAGCACATGACCGTCTACTTCTAGAGTTTCACCATAGCTATTTGCTAACGCTATTTGGCGGTTTTGAGGTGGCGAACTAAGACTTTCTGTTTTTGTCTCTCTTCATAGGATACTTCATTAGCCATTACGACTCCAGTACCTTTTAGTTTTCGTATGTTTCTGAATAAATTTTGTTTTTTCAGGTACGAAACAAATTCAAGAACAACAGGGGATCTGGAAGAGTTTTTTTCAGTTTGATATATGTTGGTGATACCTTGTTCAACCAGGCTGATGCCAAGAAGATTATGGAGAGCTCGTGTAGTTTCCTCTAGCAGATTCGTCTCATTCGCAATATTCATGTCAAATATGACAATGTCATTCTTTCATGCTGTTTTCTCCACAATTTTAATTTTGTTTTCAAGGGTTTCAATTTTTTTCACGTTTTCCGAGACAGACCCAGATATCGGTTTGAGACTCAAGTTTAATTCTGTTTTCATTTCGTCAGTTGATATTGAGTTCATAATTTTAATCAGCCTGCATGATTCTGAAGATGTAAGATCTTTCATGGGTTCATCTTTATCAGTCATTGGACATGGGAAATTCATCTTTAATATAAATGATCTGATCTATTCTTTCCTAATTAGGAGTAATATAATGGTGATATCTAGGTACTCACTTTCAGATCAGTTCATAGACTATCCGCTATTAGAGTCAACGGTAAGTTCACTTCATGAGTATTTTTTTTCACTGTTTAGGTAGTGTTTTATTCGAGAGTAAACACTATTGACCTATACTAATGTGGACATTTTGTATTGTCTTTGCCTGGTTTGGTGATCCAAAATATTTTCAAATGCGGTTTTTTCGATTGGTTGGGAAAGGGATCAGAAATATTCGTAGATAAACAATTTAGTTTAATGCGAACGTTTCGGACTTTATTAAATCCATCATCAGGGCTCTACAATAAAATAATTTAATAAGTGAACAGTATATACCAATACATATTGCAAAATTTATAAAGTTTATACAATCTCATATTATGTAAAAGAGAAACAAACAGGTGCACTTACCAAACATTAGTTATCCATGTCAAAAAAAAGTTTAAAATATAAGTGTCAGACAAATGAAAATGAGGACTAACCAAATGAAAACATATACACCACAGACACGATAAAAATGAAAACGATATCCAAGGAGACAAACTGATTAGGAATGGTCGGTTTTGTTCGCCTTTAAAAAAAATTTATAAAAAATAGAAGGATATCAGATTCCACAGGATGGTGGAAACTTATGTGTATTAAAATATTAAGGAATACGATTTTGTAAATTAAAATAAGCACTATTCAGTCCTTCTATGTCCCTTCTAGTGTCAACACTTTTTTGTTTGAAAATAGGTTCGTTCCAACCTTGGGTCACCAACAGATTTCCAACAGTTTGTAAATCGTTGTCAACGCGCATGTCTGGTAGATATTGGTTTCTGATTAATTTGAAATTTCTGATTGGAACGGCTGATAGTTCAACTGAAGTTTGGCATGGAATTTCAACATAACCTTTTAAAATAAATCTAATCAAGTGTATTTCTGGAGAGTAGTAGTAGTAGTAGACTTTATTTTAGGAATCCTAATATACAATATATAGTTATGGATATATGAATAATTTAGTGTGGCACAGTAGTCAAAGTGTGGCCTCATTATGCAGTTGTAACATGTTAGTGTAGCAAAGGTTGATAAAGATTTTGAAATTCTAGAGAAAAATACATTTTCTTACATATATTTGTAATGGTATATTGGGCATGCTTATTCAAATTTATTTGATGGTCTATAATGAATCCAAGGTACTTAATTTCATTTACAATTGTGAGTTGATTATTGAATATGCTGATATTAACGTCGTTAATATCAATCTTTCTTTGATTCGAATTAGTTGTAACCATCATTGCCTTAGATTTATTGATATTCAATTTGAGTTTATTCACTTGTAGATATAATTTAATGTTCTATATTGATATTTTGTACAGTTTTTTTTAAATCACAGTTTTCCGTATATAGAAGGGTATCATCAGCAAGTAAGAGTAAAAGAAGGTTGCAGTATTTTATATCTCTATTCTTTTTACCAATCAACATGGAACTGGGAGGTAAAAGTAGGTCACCGCATTAATTGATTTGTGTAATTAAAGATGTTCATATTTTAGGTTCACTTAAAGAATTCCTAATTTTTCCTGCGCCAGCAAATACATAATTTATTTTATAACAATTTTTGCAGGTTATGTTGTTTGCAAGTTGCATGAACATAAAACAGTAATACGGAATACGCATGCATCAGATTAATGGTTAGAAGATAATCCTCAAACCATTCTGATAGATTTCGAACAGGTTTGAATCTTGGATGGAACAGAAAACTGATAGTTTACTAATGGTTGGAAACCCACGTTGGAACGCAATCACATTACTGCGCAGAATCCTGACTGTCAGAAACTGTTTCTGACGCTGGTTGGAACGAACCTAATGTGGATCATCTCACTAAACAGTCGTTTACCTAATAAAGGTTGAATACCTGAAATCTTGGGGTTTTCAAAGTCAAAACTGTGGTTGTTTCTCATGTGTGTTCAACGAGGGCTGTTGGATTGGCAACATTCAACTTCCTTGTATCTCTGTCATGTTCGTACAACCTGTTTTTTTAAGTAACGTACCGTTTGCCCTACATAACATCCTGGACAATCCTTGCAGTTAATTTCATAAACGACGTTTGATTGCATATTCATCGGAGTTTTTGTTTTTTGTTTCGAAAAAAATCTTTTACCTACAGTGTTATCATTGGCAAACGCAATTTTGATTTGTTCATTATTTAGAACGGATCCAAGTTTTTCAGAAAGGTTATGTACATAAGGAATTTTGAAATATTTTCAATTGTTAATTTCCAGTATAGGTTGTCTATTTTCATTCATAATTTTTTTCACCAATGAAGGAGGGTAATTATTTTTAATAAGAAAATCTTGTATAATTCTGATGTTTTTGTTATGAAACTCAGTATTAGAAATTGTGAGTGCTCTTGATTTTAAGTTCCTAATGATATCAATTTTATTGTTTAAACTGTGTTGTGGAAAATAATTAATAAACCTTTCTGAAAAAGTAGTTTTGTGGTACCAGTCGACTTTTAAAATCTGGTTAGGTGTTCTCAATATCTCAGTGTCTAAGAAGGTAGAGAATTTTCTTTTTCCAATTCTGCTGTAAATTTCAAATTTGGGTGGAAGCTTTGAAAAACATGAATAATTTCCATTTTTTTTTTCATTCTTGGGTATTGAAGTGAAAATGTCATCAACGTATCTTTTGAAAAACGGAACTGAAAAAGACAATTGTTCTAGACTACGTTGTTGGAGTTCAGACATCACTAGATCTGCACATATAGGTGACATACAGTATTGTGCCAATACATACATTGGCCATTTGAACATACTATAAACAATAATTTTATTTCAAACATACTTCCATCAAACGGTATGCCACTCATTGATATCTATCCTCTTTTATCACGAATTTGGGGAATTCGTGACAAACGGAAACGAGTGCGCCAATCTACCATTGGTCGTTAAAATTTATGGTGAGCCATGAACATTTGTGTTTCAGAACATTCATTTCATGGCTACCCATGAACATATATTTGAAGACATTCGTTTTCGGCTACGAAATCAGTAGAGAAAAATCGAATTTCACTAATAGCCCTGAATAAAATAATTGATATTAAGGTACCCTCTTTCCACAGTTACGATTTGATTTTTTGGAGATTTTCAATATGTGGAATTAATATCAATTCGAACAATCATGATTAGAAAAATATGCATTAAACCATAATATTCAGCATTTTCTATATATTGAAAATGCTGTTATATGTTTTGAAAAAACAGTGCTACTATGGATATTTTCACTTGAAACAAAAGTAGTCGGCGTATTGTATAATACATATATGGTCCTCGATTTTGTTGCGAAAAAATATACCCTTGCAACCCCGTTCATAATTTCGATTAAAAAAATTATATCTTTTAGGGTATTTTCATGTGAAACAAAAGATGCGGCGTGTTATATAATAACTAGGTGGTCCTCGATTTTGTCGCGGAAAAATATACCCCTTGCAACCCCATTCATCATTTCAATTTAAAAAATCATATTTTAGGAAGAATTTGCGCTGCCGGAAAAATTTTCACGTGAAACAAAAGAATTCGGTGTATTGTATAATACCTTCTTCTTCTCTTTTTTTATGGTCTTTACTTTTCTTCGGCGCAGTAGACCAGCGTATGATACCTATATGTTCCGCGATTCTGTCGCGGAAAAAAAAACACTCATTTCGATTCAAAAAATCATATATCCTGAAGAATTAGCACTGCCGTAAAAGTTCCGTAGGTGGTAATAAAGCACTTTAAGGTAGGGTGATTTCGATGGATACAGGCGGTGACCGCATGTGTTGGAAATGCTGACAGCAAGTTCATTGGGGCCTCAAGCGCCTTGCAGCAGACCCTACACCTCGTGTCTGGAACTCATCACGCGACTACGGTCAACTGTGAAAACACCATCCTAGCGGGCCATGATGAACTTCTCAGTTTTTGACTACAGCCCACTCGACTTCGGGCAAGCGAAGTTCAGACGCTTTGATAAGGTCTTCAATGTTGTCGAAGAAGACCCCATGCATTGGCTTATCCTTGTGTTGCCTCAGAAGTGAATTGATTTCTGCGGATTTTACATGGGCTTTTGCATGACGAGTTCCAACTCGGTGACGGAGTTATAATCACCTCGTTCAGTGTCGAAAACTAAACCGAGTTCATCAGCCGCTCGTGTAGCTGCCTTTAAGAGAAATGCTTTAAATTCTGCTCTCTCATAGTCGCGGACCTTGCAGTGAAGTGGATCCGAACTCCTGATGACTTTATAGGCTCCTTCCAGTACCATTCTCTTATGTAGGCACTCTAAACTCAAAAGTTCATGGACTTTATGTTGTCGCGGGAAGTACAACCGTGGAATTGAATAAACAGTGTTATTGTAACTATAGATATCCTATTTATTTTAAGAATATTCAAAGACAATTTGGAAAGGTTCAAAGAATATTCAAACTATAACTTATTCAAGAAGTCTTCAGAAATAAATGAAAATGGAGGAACGAAATGAAAATATTATTATGTGGCCCTTCTGCGCTTTCGTAGGGTTATATATACTGTTACTATAATGGTGATAATATTCAATAAGTACACAAATTTTACGACTAATACACAAACAATACATCACAAAATTAGCTTAGATTAAACGATTAACAAAATCATAATCAATCAAATGATATTGATCCACTGACTAGTTTTCGTCCGAGTTTATATTTGAAGTACTTTCAATAATTATATTAATAAGGTATCAGATTATAAAACAATCTTGTATGAAAAAGAACCTTAAAATGGAGAAGTTTTGTGTTAAGGAAGAGTCAAGCGCGCCTTGTTTCTGATATTGATATTGTGCACATCAGTTCTAAATCTCATTTTGTTGTAAGGGTATCCAGGTTCACGATTATTCATTAATTTGTGAAACCAAACAAGAATGAAGCATCCACCTATCCCTAATCGATAGCCATCCGGACTTTGTTTTTTCCATGCTGGACCTCCTTGGACAAGTTGTATAAATACGATCAACTCCGTTGAGAACCGAAAGTTTCTTGAGGATTTTTTTTGAGTTATTGGGTAAATTGCTGACAAAAGCAGTTTATTCGAATAAACTTGTGTATACTCCTCGTTCGATGAAGCAAAATTGGTATTAATATTAGTTCATGTCAAAGTATCTTCAAAAGCTGTGACATCCAATACAAAATTAGACTTACCTTCCGGATCGACATAGTTGTTAACCACTTGTGGAAAATTGTTGGAGATGCTTGGAATGTTAACGGGTGGATGGCTTACAACAGAAATACCCTGCACTGGTGTTAGCTTCTGGGGTTCTACTGTAGTTGTTGTCTTTTCTGTATTGTAGTAAATGGCAGCGAAAGTCACTGGCCGATTTGTTGTGGTAGTTGTAGTAGTTGCTGGAGCTACTGCAGTATTGGAAGATTTAGGGCAGCAGACACCAGGTACAAACAGACTCTTGAAGCATAGAGACTGTCTCAAATTCACTAGATCTAGAAGAAGCTGGGGACAATTGCTTAGATCATCGCAAAACCTACAAATAGTCGAATATTAACGTACAGGGTGATAATGAAAAATGTTTCACATGCTTTCAATTCATCATCCACTGCTGCTCTGTTTTTGAAAATAGATTCACTCGTTCAAAACATATGTAACTTGAAAATTCTAATAATACGTTATCCAAAATATCCGAAAAAAGTTTTACCATATGGGGAAAGTACATGCTGTAAATTTTTTCCGCCAATCGTACACGCAGTGTCAGTTCTCGAGATACATCAATCAAAATCTCCAATAACAGGTTATTCGTTTGAAGGTGATTGACAATGTTTTATGATGAATTTCACTAGTTCGGACTTCCATTGTCTAATATATGAAATGATTTGAAATTCCTGAAACCACTAAAAAAAAGAAGAATTAAATTAATAGCTGAAAATAACAATTATAATAGGCGAAAATAACCTGAAATGAAATAATAGTGGAGAAAAAGCTATCCGAAGATGGGAATTTGAAAGAGAGAACGAATCTACCTATAGAA